GGTGGGCCGCACCCCTCTCTCTAGCCACGACAAGCCCCATTTCTTGGTGTTGTCGCGCCTCCCTTTTGAGCAAACTAGCGCTCAATGCTCGACTGGAGCAGCCATGGACTATTGGGAAGGAGTAAATGAGCCCAGGCAACAACAGGCATTGCTCATGAAGACACCAGGGGGCGCCTTGCTGGGTCTCCATCGCACGATCGTGAGTGCAACAACAAGTAGCATCATGTGATCGCATTCGCACAATGCTAGCCGCGCATGAGTGCTATCGCACACCCTCCTCAACCGAGCCTAACGTCCCAACCCTGCTCTCCTTGGTTTGAAGCTGCCACTGAACCAGTCGTCTGCCGATCGTAAGGGTGTGTTTGCTCGATATCAAACTTGCAAGGACTAATGGGTCACTACTCATGGGTGAGTTTGATAGATTTCAAACTTGTAAGAGCTGATGTGAATTTCGCATAGGTGTGTTTGCTTGACATCGGTCTGACCCGTTGGTCCAACCAGTTGGACCGATCAACCCGTGAACCGGCTCCTTGACCGGGTCAAACACTGGGCCGGATTTCAAAAATTGATTTCAACATTAATTGTTAATTGGATGGAAATAAAGTCAAAGTAAATTTAGTATTATACAAGGCTGGACTTTCATAAAACTAGTTTTTGGTAACTTGAAATGGGAAAGTTCCTACAAGTTGGAAATGGGAAAAAAAATGTACTACCAGTAACTCTATTTAATGTTCTAGATGAGGAAATTTGTTAATTTTTTTTTTTTTTTTGATCGGTGAAACAAAATTCTTTTCACTAACATTAGATCTATGTTGAAAATATTGTAATTATATATGCTCTTATGAAATTATATCCTAAATTAATTTTTTTGGAAATCAATTGTTATATTAGTTATTAATTAACATATTCTCTTTAACTCTCTTCTTAAACAAGATATCACATTCTTTGGAATGAAAAACCTTGTAATACAAGGCTAATACTCTTACAAACTTGCGTGTTTAGTTATTCTTTATTGTTTATTATAAATCTTAATTTAATTAAGTTATGTCAACTTCAACTAATTTATGTAAAAGAGAAAATATGATCTATCACATATAAATCCATCATACCAGTCCTAGTAGATGAATTAGAATGCAAAATCTTCTAAACCAATTTGAGGGTCGAAAGACGACTTGGCCTGTCGCGTCAACAAGGCAACTGCCATGAAGGTTCTGGAATTGGGAGACAATTTTCCAATTTCCATGACTGAAAACGTATATATATATGCTTGGCAAAAGATCGAGGAAACCAACCAATACAACGTCATTTTATTAATTTCTTTCATAAGCTGAAAATTAGAGTAATGGCCTCAAGAACTCGCTTACTTTTTGGCTTATTTTTTCTTCTTATCGCTATGTCAATGCCCACCATTATTCAATCTAAATCAACAGGTAGTGGTAACCCTTTCGGATTCATTCAACATCTGGAAGGATGCCACAAGGGTCAGAATATTAGTGGCCTGCACGATATCAAACGTTATCTAGAGAATTTTGGATACTTGAATTATGATCTTAATTCAGGCCACAAAAACCATGCAAATGACGATGAGTTCGACGACCTTTTGCAGTTGGCAATTCAAAAATACCAGCGCAATTATCATTTGAATGTCACTGGAAGCCTGGATTCCAACACAGTGAATCAAATGATGAAACCGAGATGTGGTGTGGCAGATTTTGTGAATGGCACAAAGCAAAACCACCACAAACACAATCACAAATTCGCCTTCCACACAGTTGGTCACTATCAATTCTTCCCTGGACCACGGAAATGGACCCAATCCCATCTCACATATCGCTTCGCTTCTAGCGTGCAAGTTCCCACCTCACTAAACTTGAGGTCTGTCATTCAATAAGCTTTCCAAAGATGGGCTCAAGTCACCCATTTCACTTTCCAGGAAGACCCGGCAAATTTGAATGCTAATATTGTGATTGGCTTTCACCGTGGTAACCATGGAGATGGAGAAATTAACCGATTTGATGGCCCTCAGGGAGTTTACGCTCATGCTAATCCACCAACTGGAGGAAACTGCCATTTTGATGCAGAAGAAAAATGGAGTACCAATCCTGGACAAACTGAACTAGACTTGGAATCGGTTGCTGTTCATGAAATCGGACATTTATTGGGGCTTAATCATGAGCCAGGAAAGCCAGATGCAATTATGTATCCGACTTTCGGCTACGGGAGGATTAAAAGAGACTTGAACGCCGATGATATTCAAGGCATACAAGTCCTTTATGGCTTGCAGTAACTTGAACATGGCTTCTCAAGTCCTGTATTGGATAATGTATTGAAATAATTCGGAATAAACTGTCTCTTTCAGTTTTACTAATATAATAATAAAGTTGAGAAAAAAACTTTGTCTTCTTGACTTATGGCTCTACTCACAATTCTGAACAGAATCAACAGACTAATTTTTCACTAACAAAACGATCCTAACTAACAGAGATTACGAATTCCGTTAACTGATATAATTTTTTTTGTATAAAGTCTAAAATATCCCTAACAAAAGAATTTGAAAAAACTTATAAAACACTAACCCCCCCCCCCCAAAAAAAAAAATTCTGCCTTTCTTTTCTCTTTCACAGAAGACAATCATCTTCTTCTTCGGTGTGTTTAAAAAAAAGCAATCCCAATTATTTGACACCAACAATTTCGCACGTGGTAAAATGCTAAGAAGTCCAACGTGAATGATTATGGAAGTTGAATAGGGTACTGTTTTCACAATAGCATGTAAAGATGTAAAAGTAAATGAGACAACAAATATTTTTATAATGGTTCGGATGCTTAAAGCGATTCCTGCATCTACTATTTTCTTTTATAGTAGTGTGTTCTTAGTTATTAGCCAAGATTACAATAGGTCGTGAACTGTAATATGGGTTACAAGTATTTGGTGTTTTAAGTGTTCTTAAAGAATATCAAACTAGTCTCTTTCCCGTAATGTGTCTTTGTTATTTTTTTTTTTTGTTGAATTCAGAGTGTTTGGTCCTAATTTTGTGAGGGGGTGCTGTCTATTTATACCTGTTGAGCTTAAGGTAATGATTACATATCTCCAAGTTGGTTGGTGCTATGCAAATCCTTCATAACGTCCCAGTGGTTGAAAACTTAAGAAATATCTTTAACTTAAATGGGGTTTGGATAGGTATGTAAACTAAATTCATTCATAGACAAAACTTGAGTCAGTTGGGTTGTTGATAGCTATATTCTTTTTGTCTTGGACGACGTAGCAGACTTTAGACGATACAAAATCTTCTTGAATTTTGATTGGTGCTTGCTGACATCAGCTTATATCAACCTTGATTTTTTAAGCATAATACTGATGCTTCTCAAACTTCAATTGACCACCATCACATGAAATTCACTCTCCTACGAAAACCAATTTCGAATTAACACAAACCCAAAATAGAAAACCCACCAAACCCAAAATCTGGCGGTGGATTGAGGTATATATATATCCATCCATTTTGCTAAAAACTCTTTTATTAATGTATAAGTATCAATAACACTACGGACATTGAAAAAATTGCACCGAAATTCTGTACTGGCCTACGTGTAATGCGCATCTGAATTTTTTTACAATTTTTTCCTAGTGAACGGCCGTCCATCAAATTTGNAAAAAAAAAAAAAAAAAAAAAAATTCTGCCTTCCTTTTCTCTTTCACAGAAGACAATCATCTTCTTCTTCGGTGTGTTTAAAAAAAGCAATCCCAATTATTTGACACCAACGATTTCGCACGTGGTGAAATGCTAAGAAGTCCAACGTGAATGATTATGGAAGTTGAATAGGATACTGTTTTCACAATAGCATGTAAAGATGTAAAAGTAAATGAGACAACAAATATTTTTATAGTGGTTCGGATGCGTAAAGCGATTCCTGCATCTACTGTTTTCTTTTATAGTAGTGTGTTCTTAGTTATTAGCCAAGATTACAATATGTCGCAAACTGTAATATGGGTTACAAATGTTTGGTGTTCTAAATGTTTTTAAAGAATATCAAACTAGTCTTTTTCCCGTAATGTATCTTTGTTATTTTTTTTTGTTGAATTCAGAGTGTTTGGTCCCAATTTTGTGATGGGGAGTTGTCTATTTATACCTGTTGAGCTTAAGGTAATGATTACATATCTCCAAGTTGGTTGATGCCATGCAAATCCTTCATAAAGTCCCATTGGCTGAAAACTTAAGAAATATCCTTAAATTAAATGGGGCTTGGACAGATATGCAAACTAAATTCATTCATAGACAAAACTTGAGTCGGTTGGGTTATTGATAGTTATATTCTTTTTGTCTTGGAGACGATGCAAAATCTTTTTGAACTTTGATTGGTGCTTGTTGACATCAGCTTATGTCAACCTTGATTTTTTAGGCATAATACTATGCTTCTCAAACTTCAATCGACCACCATCACATGAAATTCACTCTCCTACGAAAGCCAATTTTGAATTAACACAAACCCAAAACAGAAAACCCAGCAAACCCAAAATCCGGCGGCGGATTGAGGTATATATGTATCCATCCATTTTGCTAAAAACTCTTTTATTAATGTATAAGTATATATAAAATTGGTGATTTTGATTAGGATTAATTGGTCATCTTGTGCTTCTCATTAATGCTGTATTTAAAACAGATCATTTCAGATATTTACTGCAAAAAAGGTGCAAGCATCTAAATCTTCGGTATATCTGTGAGCTGTTTTATGGAACACTGTCTCTTTGTCATCATGATATTACTAAACTCAGTTGAATCACAAAATTCCTTCGAATTTATTAAACAGCTAGAAAGATGCCGCAAAGGCCAATCTGTCAATGGCCTCCACAAGCTGAAACAATATCTAAAACAATTCGGCTGCCTAAACCAAAAAGCTTAACACTCACCAAGAATTGACTGAAAACAATGATCATTTCGACCAACTTCTAGAAATCCACAATTAGAACTTACCAGCAAAATTATAATTTAAATGTCACAGGAATGCTAGATCCTGACACTGTAAATCAGAGGATGTTGCCTCGATGTGGCGTTAAAGATGTTGTGAATACAACTACAACAAATTCCGGATCATTAGGTCTCCAACTTCATCATGTCTCACGCTATAAATTCTTTTCAGGAAACCCGAAATGGCCTCCGGAAAAGTACAATCTAACCTATAATTTCAAATCGAGCGCCAATGTTCCAGGCAGCAACGAGGACATAAGCACTATTTGTTCAAGGGCATTTAAAACATGGAGTGAAGTGACAAATTTTACTTTTCAGGAAGTTCAGGAAAATGCTACGGCTAATATTATGATTAGATTCCATCGCGGTGATCACGGAAACGCTCGACTGTTCGACAGTAAGAGTCTTTTGGTTAATGCAGCTGCACCTACTGGTGGAATGTTACACTATAATGCGGGCTTGAAAGATCAGGGACGTGATTAGACTGACCTGGTAACACTTGCAGACTTGCTGTGCATGAAATCGGCCATGTTATTGGACTTGAGCATAGTTTTGTGATAGAATCGGTAATGGTTGCGACAATTGGGCCTGGAATCATTAAAAGGAAATTGCATTCGGATGATGTTCAAGGTTGTTGAGCTAATAAAAGCAGAACAAGCCATGCAAAGTTTAGAGGGGAACAGAGCTACAAATGTTTAGTCTCAGAAGCTGAAATAAGTAGTTAATTAGTTAAGGCTGTTAAATCTGTTTTAGTTTGTTAATAGAGTCAATTAGTGAAACGGTGCGTTTTGTAGCTTCAGTAGTCAGTACTATGCTTTACTGGTATGTTTTGTCTCACGTATAAATGCTGCTGTGTACTCAATTCTTCGTTAAAGAAAATCATTCCCAGAATTCGATCTTATCTTCATTTTCTCTGTTCTCTAAAATTTACATGGTATCAGACCCTAGACCTTCGTCAATGGTAGCTTCGATCTTTTCATCTCCTCTCGCAAGTGAAAAATCTTCTGATACAATGTCAGGATCAATAATTCCAGCATCTCTTCCTAAAATTTCAGTCAAATTAGGTGGAAAGAACAATGATTATTGGAAATTGCAGGTGTTACCAGCATTAAAGTCACATGATCTTGATGAATTCGTTATTGGAGAAAAGCAATGTTCACCATTGTTCGTAACAGAGAAGAGTGAAGGCACACCTCAGGTGATGAAGAAATCAAATCCTGCCTATTTCAACTGGAAAAGAGTTGACCAACTTTTAGTAAGCTGGCTTATCTCTTGAATTTCTGAATCGATGTTTAGACATGTTGCAAAATGTTCTACTGCTGCTGAAATCTGGAATATACTTGAAATGCATTTTCAATATGAGTCTAAAGCTCGAGCTCTACACTTCCGTAATCTGTTACAAAGTACAAGAAAAGAGTCAATAAGTATATTTGATTATGTTCTAAAGATGAAAGAGTATGGTGATAGTTTAACAGCTAGTGGACGTTATATTGGTGATGAGGAGCTACTATTATACATTTTAGATGGCCTAGGACCAAAATATGATGCTGTAGTGGCCACTCTAACCTCTCGGAGCAGTAGTACCAATCTACAGGAAGCACAATATTATCTACACAAACATGAAATGAGATTAGAGCGTCAGCATGTTCCTGCTGCTTTTGTAGCTACTGTTCAGAATTCAGTAGGATCAAGCAATGTCTCTGGTTGTAATTTCAGGCTGGGAGTACCAGTGGAGTAATGAATGCTGGTCATAGTAATAATGCTGGTGGATTTCAAACAGGATCTAATAATGCTCAATTAATGAATTTTACAATATGGATTTCCTACTAATACTCAAGGTTTTCAAAGCAATGGTCTAATGTTTGGAAATGCTTCCGGTTTTGGTGGATTTAATCCAAATCAGGTTAAGTTTAGAGGAAGAGGAAGAGGTTATTTTCAACCAAGGTTAGTTTGCCAAGTATGTGGAAAAGGAGGTCACATTGCACTACAATTTTATCATAGGTTCGATCAGAATTTTCAGGGTTTTAATATGCCACAATCAGGTCATAATGGCAATACTTTTGGTTTTGGTTTTTCAAATGGTTTTCCGCAGTTTCCACAGCCTCCACCACAAGCTTATTTTGCTGCAAATTGTGGTTTTCCACCTAGCTTACAGTATACCAATGCCTATACTAGATCTTTTGGACCTGTTTTCTATCCGACTGGTACAAATGGATCATTTTCTGGAGGTTTCAATTCTTCCTCTTCTCCAATGCTAGGCCCTAATCTTGTTTTTATGCAGTTTCAATATCATGATAACACTAATGTTTCAACAGGAGTATCATCAAGTGGACAAGTCCCTATTGTGTTTGGTTCTTCTCCAATGCAATATGATCAATCCTGGCATGTAAAGTCAGGAGCTACCAGTCACATTATCCCTTATCCCAATAATCTTCTTGTCAAGACAGAATTTCAAGAATCTAATCAGCTGCAAGTTGGGAATGGTCAAAGTGTTCCAATTGTGCAAACAGGTTCCACTCTACTTCCCTCTTCTTTTTCTTCTAAGCTACTTCATTTGAAGAGTTGGAATTTTTCTTTTTATGTGCAGAGCACAGACATAATCAATCGTAGTAAGGCATGGAATTAAGTAAGAACTGTGTAAAATACAAATGGTATCAGTCTTGAACTGTGAATCTGGAGTCCCAAGTAAATTAATTATAATCTTGTTTCTTTAACAGACATGCTATCGCATTTTACCAAAAATGCAAACAATAGTTCCAGTTTGAACTAAGGATTGAATAAGAAAATCATAACTAAAACACACACAAATTCAGAATTGAAGATGGAAGAGGAAGAAGAGACAAGACTAGATGCAAAGAGAATATGTATGTATTTATGATTTTTCCCTGTTTTTACATGTCAAGTATAAGTGTGTTTATATACACTTTAGGATGTAATCTTGTACAATCAAAGTTCAGATATTTTGGGATGCAGATTGCAGGTTTGAATTGATTTGCTGACTAGTCTTCTGATTCTTGGGAGAGAGATCTGTCATCCTGTTGAGGTAGTTTTGAGCTCAATCAACATTTCCTAACAGAAAAAGACCTTAAAATTCCAATCTAAACTACTTAGTGTATTTCATTAAAACATAATGATTTATGAGTAATGTTAATATACAAATTACTTATATATAAACTATTTCCTACAAATTGATGTAGCAACCTTACATGTTTACCATGTAATTTTTTTTAATTATTTAATTAATTTTTAATTTAAAATCACCAACCATCTTAAAAACACGTCAATTTATATAAAAATTTGTATAAAATATTATATATTATTTACATAACATGAATAATCGTATTTTATACCATATAGTCACGTGCACCTTGAACATCATCTGAATGCAATTTCCTTTTGATGGTTCCGAATCCAATTGTTGCAAACATCACTGATTCTTTCTCAGAGCTATGATCGAGCCCAATCACATGACCAACTTCATGCACTGCAATTGTTTCCAGGTCCATCTCGTCTCTCGCCGGATCTTTTAATAGGCTCCATTTTTCATCTGCATCATAGTGTTCCTTCCATCAACCGCTGTAAATGCATGAGCAACAACGCCTTTAGGACCGTCGAATGGCAACCCATCGCCATGATCGCCGTGATGGAATCCGATCACAATACAGCTTTAGCATTTCTCCAACTTCCTCAAAGTAAAATTTGTCACTTCACTCCATGTTTTAAATGCCCTTAACAAACAGCGCTTATGTCCTGGTTGCTGCCCGGACATTGGCGCTCGATTTGAAATTGTACGTTAGATGGTGTCTTTCCGGAGGCCACTTCGGATTTCCTGGCAAGAATTTATAGCGTGAGACATGATGAATTGAAGCCCGATGATCCTAATTTGTTGTAGTTGTATTGGCAACATCCTTGACGCCACATCGGGGCATCATCATTTGGTTCACAGTGTCAGGATGTAGCGTTCCTGTGACATTTAAATTGTAATTTTGCTGGTAATTTCTGATTGCTGATTCTAGTAGGGGTCGAATTGATCATCGTATTCACGCATCTCTTGGCAAGTGTTAGCGCATTGGTCGTAGATTGAGCGGCGTCGCTTATGTATCCGAATTGCTTGAGATATTGTTTCATCTTGTGGGGCCATTGACAGATTGGCCTTTGCGGCATCCTTCTAGCTGTTTAATGATTCGAACGAACTCTGTGATTCACCGAGTGTAGTAATATCATGACGATAAAGAGAAAGAAGTTCCAATAAATGGGGAAGCTAATAATTTAAGGATCATGGTTCAACTCCTTGGATTAATAGTTTTTACTTATAAAACAAGGCTATGCTGTATATCTTGGATTGTTTCTTATATATACATACATATTTATAGCGTGAGACTGATGAACTTCAAGCCCCGAGTCCTGAATTTTTTTTCATATATATATATATATATATATTATATATAAGAGAGAGAGAGAGAGAGAGAGAAGAGAGGAGAGAGAGAGAGAGCATTCCTCTTGTGAAAGTTCCCTTGTTGCATCATTAAGTTGCCCTTTGAACAGGGCAAAATCTTCCTCTTTTAGATTTAAAGATTGACCTAATCAACTTCTTATCCAAATTATTAGGAATATTTAAGTGTAATGGGAAACTTAAAGACAAAATTAATTAGCCATAAAACAGCTCACATATATACCAAAGATTTAGATGCTTGCATATTTTACACCTATTTTGTAGAAAATATCTGAAATGATCTCCACTGATTTAGGTAAGAATTTCAGCATTCAATTTCTTCTCGGTATGACTAATTAATCCTAATCAACTATCGGGAATATCATGGATCGATTTTATTTATAGTTACACATTAATGATAAAGTTTTTAGTAAAATGGATTATCTTAACATGGAATGTAGTTAAAATTCTTAATTCGGCATTAATACAAGGATTCTCTTGGATATAAGTTAAAACACATCATAAGAGATACAAAGACGAAGGAATGTCAAGACGCGCAGTGAGAAGATCATAGAATGATAAGCATAATGTAAGTGATTTTGGAATTAGGAAATTAAGGAAATCAAACCTAATGCAGTTCAATTTTTTCGCCAAAGATTGCAAAATTAGGAAAAACTTGGTAAATACTGAGAGAAATAGCTTATTGTTAAGTATTTTCAAAACACGTATGTTTCTTACAGACAACCATTCACACAAGCAGTTTTAGATGACCTCTACTGGGTTGCAAATTAATGACCTATTATACTCTATTGAAATTTCGGGCTTTTCGGAAGAATATCTTCATTCGGTTGCTTGTACAAAAGGATTTTATTAGTTATATAACTAATATATTAATTGACGTACACTGATGATGCCACAAACTGATGATAGCATGATGAGAAATAAAATTCCCAATGAAAGATATATAAGAGTTAATTTTCAGATTCAACTATGGATACGTGATAGTATATTAATGATAAAAAATTAATAATTACGTGAGAAGAACGAAATTAAGGGAACAGAAGAGATGAATAATTGAGCTTGTGGTAATTATAAAATAATTAATATAAAAAACAATCACATATTAGAATTAATGTTCATGTTTCACATAACATATTCATGAAAAAAGATAAGATAAACTTAAATTGATGAACAGGATTCTCTAAATACAATTTGGTCCTGGTGGGACACCATAGTGGTTGCTTCTTGGAGACCAAATTATACAAGTCATTGTTATTTCTCAATGCAGAGAGATGAAAATAGAGAAGCATTGTTAAACTTAAAATGCTGCAATTAATGTTAATAAAATGTCACATAATTCTAACATGTGAACAAGCGTATCAAAATCCATGGAATTTCTTCACCACCGAATAAATTGTGTACTATGTTTGAAATTTGAGCTACAAAAAATCAAGATTATTAGACTTTTCATTTGTTTACCAGTACTGTTCCTCAGCTCAAGTCAATTTCCTGGATTCCAGGAAATTCTTTTGCCGTGGTTCACAGGATGAAATGTAATCAAGAAAAGTCGCAAGTCTGTGGCCTTGTAACGACTTGGATTGGCTCCATTGCGAGTTTCGGTGCCGGTCGAATCACGCTACTGAAGGGCAAGCTGTGCAAGGAAGCACGGAGATTCTGGGTGTTGAATTTGCAAGAACCCTGTGGAGTACACTTTTGTATCTTCCATTGCTAAATATCTATTAGCGAACAACAAAATCAGATCAAAGAGCTGTACTTAATTTATAACATGGGATGAAATATGAACGTAATTTACTGGTTGAAGAAGAGATTAAAACTTTTCACCCGTGAGTTTGACTGACTTACAAATACACCCAAAGATTCCAATGGATAAATTCACCAATTTTTTACTAAAGCCTAAAGTACCTTAATTATTATTTTCAAGTTTCTTATTTAAATGGGATATTATCAATTGAGGGACAGTTTTCTAATTTTGGAAGAAAGGTTTCAACTTTCAAAACAGATTCAAAAGAGACAAAACTCCGTTACAAAGTTAAGTTTAACAAAAAAAAAAAAAAAAAGATAAATGCCCATATCCTAATATTTTAAAAAAAAAAAAAAACTATTTTTTTTTAAATAAGATATCATAAAAATACAATGAAAACTGAAAAAACATTGCTAATATTTATAATATTAAAAATAAGACTACTATAAAAATAAACAAAAGTAAAAATATAACAATAAAAAAATGCACAAAAGTTAAAGAAACCAATAAACTTAAAAAAAAAAAATCTTCAAAAAAAATAAAA